AAAAAGGGCAACCCAATGAATTGGTTCATCTTCTACAATTAAGCATCTGATTCTTCTTCTAGCCTCATAAAAATTTAGAGAAAGGTTCTCTATAATGATGCTCTTTTATGAACCTTATTTTCCTTTTCTCAATTTTATTTTTCTTACCATGTTAATAATATAAATTATAATAATGAAATTTATATTTAAATTAGTGATAAAAAAATAGATGTTATGGATAAGAAAATACCCCTCCACATGTATGACAACCAAGTATGACGTGGAGCCAAGCTAGACGGAGTATGAGGCCACGTGGTTTCCTAGGCCTGCCAAGCTGGGGTGGGAAAGTTCGAGGTTAGTTAAATTGTGGACTCCTTGCCTTGGCAACAAAATGAGAGATGACAGTCAGGAATGGTAGAACTCACCTGATACCTTGGTTACACGACATAACTCAATAGTGCAAATTTGGATCAGATCTTAGTTGGACCCGCTTACCAATTACCTACATCAACAAGAGATATTATTATTATTATTATTATTATTATTTTAAGTTAAAAAAATTGCAGAGTGGAAATTAAACCATAGACATTTTAGACGGTAATATGTATTGTATCCATTATTAAGTTATTAAACTACCACTAAAATTATTTAGGAAAAAAAAACCTAGGTGTCATTTGTATTGAATGATTTGATTTTTTAGTAGGGAGTTGGGAATTTGAACACATGACCTTTACATCAGACACAAACGTCAATTACTTACTGTTGAGCTAAGTTCGTTTTAGCGAATAATTTGATTTTTTGGTCGACAAAATTGCGATTATGTTTGAAACCCACAGATTTGGATTTTGGAGTGACTCGGGGAATGATTTGATTTTTTGGACTCAAACTTTTAAAGATTTTCATTAAATGCATGATTATAGTACATAAAATTTTTTCTAAAAAAAACTCTTTGGAACTAAAGAATAATACATAGTAAATAAGTGTACGTGTCAATCCGAACATAGCTAAAATAGAAATATATCATTCCATCCTCTATCACATAATTATTGAACTAAAAAAAGGGTGCATGCTGATATGACTTCAAAAATATTGTTTTTACGAATTGAGGTTTCTTTGAATGTTAAGTATTCCCTATTTGTTGAACATAATTTAGTGATAAACGATTTTTTTTTGTTTTTTTGTTTTTTTTTGTGAAGTTGAAGTCCAATCCTCCCCACACATTTGTTAAACTGGAAAAAAAAGAACATTATTTAACATTAGAAAAAGACACACCAATTTAATAATAATAATAATAATTTTAATTCTCACATCACTACTTTGTACTTAAAATTTAAAAGTGGAATTTAAAAACATTAGAATCAAATTAAGAAAATGATGTAAATTTTCTTAATATACTATAACTCAATGAACACGAATTCTCTTCCGAGCACTAGTCAAATCTCTTTGAAAATAATTAATAACTCATCAATAAATCAACTAATAAATCAACTCATAATATCAAGTGACTCCATCGATATTTATGAACAAGAAATTAGTTGTTCATAATAAGACTAAATAACAAAGTTTCAAACTAAATTCCATAATAGAATTTAAAAACTCCAAGGAAAGAAGAAAAAGGTAATATTTCCATAATTGCTCTCTTCCTCTTCCAAAATGTTGAAGTTTTGGAACACCTCTAAATTTCTTTAAATCCCTCTCAATTGCTTTATTCTTGCAAAACATCTAATCATGTGCATAATTTTGGTGTAGATAACACGCAAAAACTAATAATACTTAAACTATACCACATCATATAAATAGCTCACAAAATGTGCCATATATGCTTTCAAAAGCTTTTAATACATCCTTAAACTAGTAATTTGTGTTTGATAGATTTTTGTCATCAACTTTTATCAAATTTACTCTTAGGCCATCAAATGCCTAAATCTGTTCAAAATCAGATCGCCTCGTAATCTCTAGGTCAAAAAATACTTTTAATACCTATACTTTCGTTGAAATAATGATTTTAGTTGGTGAACTTTAGTTTATAACGATTTATTTGTAACAACTTAGTCCCTAAACTTAAACTGTTGCAAATTACAGTTCAATGACAAAATCGTTAAATGTGTTTTTTAACCTAATCTTAAAATAAAATAGTTGGTGATACGAGAGATCGAACCTCCGACATTGAAGTATGCTCATGTTGGCATTTATTCAATTTTTTTGTTTACTATAAATTTAGAAATCAAATGCTTTCATGAGAGAGGAAGCGTCAATTCTAATATAAAATTTATATAAAGACAATGATAATATAAATTTATTAGAATTGTTCATTCTAGTATACTTAGATTATCAATATAAAGATAATGAGCGCACAATAGAAAAATATAAATAGATATTTTACAGTAAAATTAATTATTACAATGGGATACGATATAAAGTAAGAATATAGTATATGAATATAATAGTGTTTGTACATACCTTTCCACATTAAAAAGTAAAGAATTTTGACATAGTTTCTTTTTTTTTTTTTTAATTTTTGCAAAGGTAATATATTAGTTGGTGGAGCAATTTGTGTGGTTAATTTTAACATAGTTAATAGTCATTTTGAGAATTTTTGAAAAGAAAAAGAAAAGTCATTTTGAGAGCCAAATATGAGCGAAGTCTACCCTATGCTTTGAATTATTTTGAAATTTGACTAAGAAAATGCTTTCCCCATTTAATTAACATGAAACATTTATATGATATCTAAGAAATTAAATCCTGGATTTTATAAAACGCTTGTAAATTTTAAATTTAATTACAAAATTTAATAATTATTTTATTTTGTAACTCCACTTTCACTCGCCAAAGCAAGCGTAGCTTAGCGGTAATCGGTATATATCTCCAACCAAGAGGTTGTGAGTTCGAATCCACTCCTGACACATTGTACTAAAAAAAAAAAAAAACTCGCCATTCACTCACTCAAAAGGGGATTATATTTCAATTTCCAACTAAAACATTACTATTTGTAAATTTTAAGAAAAAAAATAAAAATAAAAATTGTGTGGCCTACCAAAGTGGCCCCGAAGTAAATAGTCAACAAACAAATAATTTTCTCCCACATTGGATTTGGAGCTCAGAAAAGTAAAAAGGATCGAGAATAGAAATGGCACAAATCCAAATGGAATAAATTTGAATATTTTGAGTATGTACCTTCCTTATCTATAATATTTAGAAATAAAGCAATTACAAATATATGACCTTTTTTTAAAAATAATTATTACTTTATTACATATTTGTAGAATACGTTTAAAACACTATTAGTAATTGGTTAGCTTTAATAACAATAACCAATATGTTTATATTTTGTTAACTTCAACATGACCTTAGATATTGATTAGCTCTACCCAAGTATACCTACAAACTAATTAAAATATATATTGTCGATTAAAAAGTCAGAGGTTCAAATCTTTAAAAAAAAAATTATAGATATATATCAACAATAATCACTATTTTTTTTAAATTTTGTTTTAGAATGTTACAATGGAAACTTGGAGTTAGCACTTTTTTTAAATCACTCATTTTACCATTACTCCCAAACACACATTGAAATTATTTTCTTTATTGCCTATTTTCATTTGATCTAAATTATGATAAAAGGTCGAGAATAGAACTGGCAGCAATCCAAATCCAAAGGGAATAAATAATGACTGATGCAAAGAAAGGTGTTTTTGATTTCCTTTATAGACGAAGTGGTGGGCCCCCAATAGAGCACTTGAGTTTCAAACCAACACATTATCATAACAATAACAAAAAAGAAATAACTTTTTTTTTTCTTTTTTGCCTTTTCTTTTATAGAAAAGGGGTACAAAGGTCTTCTTTCACATCTATTTTCCTTTAGTTCCTTTCACATTTTAAATAAATAGAAATGCAAATGAAATTATAAACACAATTGTTGCCATTATTATTATTAGTATTTTTTGTTCACTAATTTAGGTACTAATATTTGTACAACATTTCATAGATACCTTGAAATCCATTGAAAAGAACTTTCTATAAGGATTCTTGCTTAGTTCAACTGACCAAGAGAGGGTTTTCTTTTTTCAATTATGCCAATATCTTTATGTTCATACTTTCAAAGTAACTTTACACGAAACTTTGTTTCAATTTCTTCGCTAAATTTTGTAATACCCGACCAAAATCATCACTTGACATCAAAGATACTTGTGTCGTAAGTCGGTTCCAATCTTACATGAATCAATAAGCATTAAAGACCTGTATACAAAGTTTAACTAAAAATAGAAGAAAATAAGTGCTCGTAACATTCCTATTTCTTTTTTTGTTTCATCATTTTTAATAAGCAAAAATGAATTGCATAACTCCAACATCCATCAATTTAAGTATGATAGAACAATTTTTTATTTATATTTTGGAACAAATTGGGAAAGAGAACAAAAAAAAAGAAACTCGTTTTGATTGTTTTCAAAATTTCAATGCAATTTTGAGAATGTTCCTAAAAATGGAAAAACAAGAAACATAGTTACAAAATGTTTAGATCTCTTCAGAAAATTGGAAACGAAAAACAAGAAACGAAACGTGTAAAATTTCAATTACTAAAAACAGATGAAAAGAAAAAAAAGAAAAGAAAAATGGAGTTAATAAAGCAAAGGGACCAACCTTGAAAATTATGTTTGGCACATGGCAGTCCCCACAAGTCAAATAGGCCATTAATTACTACATTCTTTAACTCAATGGCCCACCATGTTCTTGTTGTGTTTGCCAAACAGCTGGCTCAACTCAACTCAATCAACCACAAGAG